TCCGTTTCGCAGTCAACGACTTTTGGGTCGATGTGTAAGAAGACACGCCGTCGTCGTCGTTCCTGTAAAATCCTTAAAGTGATCGACTCACCTGCACCCCCGCCCCCATTCCCCATCCCGTAAAAGCCCCCTAAACCGCCATTCGCTCACACGACCCGAGAGAAAACTATAGGGACATGAGCTTGCGAGCGTCTTCTTACTCCTGAGAATGATACGTTCGATATTTTGATTTCTTTTTTTTATAGAGGCCGTATGGCTATTCGTTCTCATAGTGAAAATCTCAGAACCAAATGATAATATAAAAAGATAAAATAATAATAATAATAATAATAATAAAGACACGAATATTACGAATGGATATTCTGTTTGAATTGTCTTGGTAATTTTGTCGACGAGTAAAAATTATTCCTCGTTTATTTGGAAAATGACCGTATTGCAATACATAATATAAGATTGTAAATTAATTAAGTCAACAATAAATAAAGTAAGGCTCTTGTTGATTAATTTCTTTATATTAATAAGGTTAAAAATCATAATACATCTTCGTTTATACATGGAATATTACTGCGATATATTTCTATAAAAATATCTCATTTCATGGGGATAAAAAAATATTATATTTAATATAAGACATTTAATATAAGAAGAAAAAAGCTTGTAAAAGCAGTGATTAAAATAAGTACATGGAAAAATTAAAAATAGCCATTTTTTCATAAATAATACCTATTATTATCTCTATGTCATATTTACATCTTTTATACAATAAATAGTGCAAGTGATAGGATTGATTGACAGGGATTTTATGAATATAAAGTTCTACTTATCGCCGAGGAAGAGTGTATGAAAAATAAAGAATTTAAGACAGAATATGAATAATACTTGCAACTTAAGTTACCAACATACGTCCAGGAATTAAATTTGCTATTCATCGCTTGTTTGCTCAATTACATAAATGATCGTAGCATAAGTAAATTTCTTTCGAAGCATATTATTGAAACTTTTCAAACACAAATATATTAATTTAATAGAGCCATTAAATTCTATTTTTCACGTCAGCTTGAAGTTGCTTAAATGCAAATACATAATTTCGTTATTTAGTAAGATCTTTGAACTCAATTTTCCCAGCTCTCCCTCTTTTTTCATAAATCTTCGTTTTTTATTCTCTAATAAAAATGATTTACGTTTGCATGCTAGGAGAAAGTTATAGCATTACTATAAAATTTTATAAAAAAACAAAATCCATTGATCATTTTTTATTCGGGTACGTATTTTCGCACATTTTAATAGAAAATTTGATTTTTAATTTCTAAAGCAAATAATAATAACAACCTTATAATACGTAATTTTTTTCTTCAATCTTTCACCTTCATTCATAGTTCCTAAAAATCTATGTTTATCGATACACCCACGAATCGATATAAAGAAGCTAGAAAATCATTATGATGTTATTATTTAATGTTATATCAAATCATATTTTACATTTTTTAAAATAACTAAGAATTATTAGGATACAAATTTTTTACGATAATAATCCGTGAAAAATAATTTGATAATTATTATAAATTGTCATTTATATTCATTTGTTTATACTTTTTTTCATTTCTTCCATTACTTTAATTTAATTGCAACTGCTTATACTTTTTAAATAATTCATTTATACAATTTTTCATCGCATATGTAGTCTGAAAATTGACTTTTTTATTACATTGAATCATTACGTGCAATCGATATAGTAATTTCTAAATATGCAAGTACATTCCATCTCCGAACATTCAGAATATTTTTAAATTTACCATTAGAATTTAACGGTTTAAAATTTAATCATATGGAAATAGAGAAAATATTTGCATATTCGTACATTTATAAAATTAATTCTACATCAACGGTATAAATAATTCTTAAAATAAATAACATTTGCCTCATTAAAAAATTTAAATCCTTCATTTGATTTATTGCAAATAAATTATATTCTTAATAGCATATTTTTGCTACAATGAGATGAATGCATTATACGTAGTTATAACCCTTTGAATTTAAAAAAATGACATAATATCTTAATAAAACATTTGTATTTTTAAAATCCTAAGTCGATATATTCTGTTTTTGAAACTGTAAAATATTGAGAAAAAAAAAAGATTAAATATACAATTTGTAAATCCGAAATAATATACGTAAATTTTTTTTTTTTTTTTTTTTAATATATAATTAAATATAAACATGATAATGATTATCAAAACTAAAATTTAAAACGTTTTGATATTTCAATTCAATGTGCATGTAAATCTTGGCAGAAATATCTAAGGAGAAATTGTATAATTTTCCTTGCGACGAACTTTCAAATATAATAATAAATATAATAATAGCTTTCTTAAATGATGAAACTGTTAATGTCGAAAATTTACCACATACAGACAAATATGTTTGAAACCCAATATCCCCTCGATTTGAAAGTGAAAATGTCATTACAACTAGTTAGACACTCGGAGAGTGGAAAATGTAATGGAGTTGGCCGCGAGTGGGAGGTGGACGGATGGTCAAAACTTTGGTACGTACATCCACGATTAGACGAGTATGACAACGGATTTCCGCGCACTCGCGAAACTACCAACGTCCATTTGAATTATTAAGTATTTACACCTCGATGCATTTGCATTGTATGGTATATCCGAAGAGCATCCCCCCACCTTGTCTCCAATGTCGCCTGGAGAACACGAAAGTGGCTTAGCTAGGAATTGCAACAAATCGTTTACATTCTAGGTGATGCGCGTGCGCACTTACACGAGCGCACGCAGCCCTGACTGCATACATACACACGCATAGTACGCCAGTATTCTATATACTAAATGAAGATCGGTAAATCTTATGTGCGTGCAATAGTATCGTGCAATTAATTCTCTTTGCCGTAAAGCTACCGGAGTGGCAGATGTAAGCTTTTCTGATTATCTATAGTTGTACTTGCTTAGGTAAATATTTCCATATTCTTGAATATTTTAATGCTGCTCATTGCTCCTTGTTCGCTTTTTGCATTGAAAATAATAATCGCAACTGGCATATAAAGGTGAAAATTTATATTATATTAGATTTGTTAGGGAGCCGAAAGTTGAAATAATGTTCATTCACGAATGAAAGTGGAGGGTGTTGGTAATAAATATTTAAAGAGCATTTTGGCATTAATAAATGATTATAATTATTCTTAAAAATAGCCTGTAGCAATTTATAAATACATTTCCGATGTGACGGAAGACTAAATTATCATGATTTATTAATTACCAGAGTGATAAAGGTTGACGTGTCTCGAATTTTATGTAGTGGAGGTAAAATTAATATTATTGATGTATAACTTGAAATAAAATGAAAATGATAAGAATATTTGTTCATTCCCTGCATTATCTACAGGTATTTCATTTATTATTATCTATAGCAGGCAATAAGATTATTAAACTTGGAAAAGTGTCTAAATAAAAGAATGGTTGTCATAATTTTTTTTCTCTTGCGTGTCAGACTGCTTTTATATCAAAGAAACAAACGATACGAAGCGAAACAAAACAAGTATTAAAAGTATAACAAAATATCCTTCAATTTTTCCGGTCGTTTATTTTGGCATTAAAAAAGTACTTAAAATTGTTATTTATCTTATGTCGATGTTCATAAGACACAATATAATTTACGATGAAAACAATTAGCCAATAAAACTGAAAATTGGTTATAATTTCAGTGGCGCTCATCAAATGAAATTATAGAACTTTTTTTGCTGTTATTAAAAGGTAGATGTATTTTTCTATAAGTTAAGTATTAGTTTTCTATCGTTTTATCGAAATCTCAAGTGTCGCACTATACCGAAATCGCACGTACATCGAACGAACACACACGCGCGCACACACAATGAAACCGTTTTAAATAAAGTTGGTACAACTTATCGTTGCTCCAATTTATTTTAAAACTTTTGACACTGTGTGCAATTAATATAAAATAATACCGCATCCGTTTCTAATGCCCTGTGTGTATATATATATATATATATATATATATATATATATGGATAATATATTATTAAGAATTTTTATATTATTGTTAGGTAATAATAATGAGATTAATTATAGTTGTATTATGGTAATTCATTTCCTAAAATAAATAATAATTACGCTAAATTCAATGGTATTTCGATACAAAGCAATAATAAGACAAATATGTAAACCAATGAAGTAGAGTAATTAAAGTATAGTAATGTATTAGAGCCAAAACTAAAAATTAATTGCAGGAAGGAGGCGCGAATTGCATTACATGGGGTAACAAAAGCCTGTAAGAGAACCGGAGATGAGAAACAATTTCTCGCTTACATACTAAAGTCGGATGAAACTTTGTAGGAGAAGTCATTATAAGACTCGTGCACATTACTCTACCATATTGTCGATCGAAATCCCCTCACGGACACAGCCACCGGCTATTAACACATGCAATTGATAGCCGCGATTCGCCGTCGCGCGATGATCAATCGGCCAGTCAAGTCGAGCATCTCGCGTGATCTACTCGTACTTTTATTCACCTCGGGATCGCGTTCCGATTTTTATTGCTTCGATCGCGCACGAGATTATGTTACGCGCACGCTCCAAACTCCCGAGCATATACGTAATCCTATTATTGTTGGGAATGTTGGGGCGAATCGAGGAAGGGAGGGGATGAGAAAGGGACGAACGATTTTGCCCCGTCACAGCGAAACATAGTTTTTCTGATTAATTTTTAATATTGCCCACGCTCTACGCGCTTGTGATTTTTATCAAACTCTTTTAACACATATGCAATTATTGCGATTTCACGCAGTCGTTGACAAATGACTTACATCGATGAGTACAAAGTTTTTCTCCCTTTTACTCATATTCTGCATATTAATTAAATTCATCATTGTCGCTAAATCATCGATATAGTTGGACGAAATTTTGTAAAAGCATTCGGATATAGAGAGATTACTTTTTATATGAGAAGAATGTATATTATAATGAAGTTTACATCTATGTTTTGAAAAATTCACTTTTAATATTATTTACGTATTTTATATAATTATGTTTGCGGAAATACAATGAAAATAATTTAAACTCGTAATATAAGGATAAATATAATCCTAATAACCCTATAGCCACATATGCAAATAACCAAATATCCCAATAAAAGCGTACAAATATTTCATTATAGGAATGTATAATTTTAAATGGAAGTAATAAGAAAAAATGTGACATTTACTTACACTGAAAGGTATGAGAGAATTCTTCACTGAAGGAATCATCCACTGTTGGAAGAGCGACATCACGACTTGACATCCCACAACAACCTCTAGGATCCGCTTGATTAAAAATCTGCACAGAACAGAAATAATAAAAGAAGAAACAAAGTGTACTGTAAGGTAAATCTCATGATATAGAAAACCAGCGGGACTATAAAATTGCATCATTCCCCCTAGTTTCAAATTTATTCCAACTCAACGCAAAACTTATTGCGGATAAAGATTCTCCTCACTTTTCAAGGATTTCAAGTAATAATTTATATATGCTGAAGAAAGAAACAGAGAAAAAATAGAAAGAAAGACAGTGAGAGAATGAGAGAGAGAGAGAGAGAGAGAGAGAGAGAGAGTGAGTGAGGAGGAACGGCATTGGAAATGGGGGAAATAAAACATAACGCAGTGGCGTTCTTAAGATTTTGCCTGGAGAAAGCGGCCGCGTGTTTCATTGCGATAAAAAGGAAAATTTATCTTCCCCGCTGTCCCTTATATACAAAAGCGAGTAAGGGGATGAAAGACGGCGCTCAAGACATTATAAATTACATCAAGAGGAATTCATCGACGTGGATATTCCTTACCACCGCCCATGAAATTTCACGGGGCGCAAGTTCGTAATGCGTTAGACACGGGTAGCCAAGCAAACTAAGAAAGTAAGAGCGTGTACCAATGGGCGCGTATGTGTGCCTGTGCAAGTACTCTCGTCGAGGGTGGCGAGTTGGGGAATGTAGCACAATACTGGAACAGCCGGAAGTATGAGCACGGTTTAAAACAAGAGCGGAAGCGCAACGAGGAATACATCACAGCTCGACGCTATCTCTCTCTCTCTCTCTCTCTCTCTCTCTCTCTCTCTCTCTCTCTCTCTCTCTTTTGCTCCTATTTTCCCAACAATGGCCCACTTGAATCTAATTTTACGAGCGCACCTCTCGAGCTGTCTTCATCTTCTTCTTCTTCTTCTTCTTATTATTATTATTATACTGTAGGTCTTCCTTTTGAGTATAAGGGGACAAAGTATTCAGATTAGTAAGGCAGAGGTAAAGCTGTTGCTGATGCAATAAACGCAGTTTATCCTTGACACTTGTGGCTAGATTAGATTGATGATAAAAGAATGAAGTTGGTGCGTTTAGAACGGAAGTAGAATTTCACTTCTCCATTTAATTAAGAGAATTGTAGCTCGTTTAACAACTTTTGTTAACAATGCAGAACCAATGAAAATTTTTCATTCGTTACCATAGTAAGGTAATTTAATTTAATTAATAATTAATTAATGTACAATTTAATAATTGCAATATAATTAACAGCTCGTATTTTACAACTACAACTAACGGAATGTTTAACAATATTCTTTCATGGATATCTGTACTAACATTGAATAAAAAATAGCTTCATCCATACCACAAGTATTATTTATATTTATAATCATGTATTGATATAAATGAAAGAAATCCAATATATTGTGATAATTAAAAAAAAAAAAAACAAAAAACAAAAAACAAAAAAAAACAAAAAAATGTAATCGAAATACTTTATTACTATGATGGAATGAAATATATCATTAAGCCAAATTGGAAATTCCGATAAATATAAAATTTTGGTTTTACGTTATTTCGCACACATTTCGAAAATCAATCCTACAGCACGAACAAGAAACAAAAACAAATTGGAAAATGTCATTGGATAAGAGACAAAAAAGAGTATAGATGTATATTTAATTTGATATTTTAAATAAAAGTATGTCCAATGGGAACAGAATTCACTTTTTAATTGACATATAATATCTATAATATTTAATGATAGATTAATTTACAATGTTAGAGGAATTTTTTTCCAATATATTCGAATGATAATTGAATGGGACGAATCATCAAAACATTGTAAATCCCAAGCCGTTACAATTTCTGCGTAATTATCAATTAAAAATATACCTCTTTCGGATCCTTTGCGTTCGAGGAAAGTTTAATTCATAGCAGAGCGTCGGTGCCAGGATGTAGTAGTAGAGGTCCGACAGATTTAGGTTGTCCGGATATTGCACGAGAGCTTTGCCGCCGCCGTCTATCTCGTGTCTTGTTTCATCGGAATCACAACCGTTTTGTTTCACGTCCGTAGCTGTGAAAATAAAGAAGAACAAAAAAAAAAAAAATAGAGATGACTAGACCTAGCATACGCATACTGGTCGAAACATCGAAATGTCAAATATCACGTATGGAACTTAGCGTTTGCGAAATGAGCCACTGCGTCACATTGATTTTCTCATTACTATTCATATTAACCTGACTATTTCTTATATTTTTATCATTTGTTACAACTTAACATACGCTAACAATTAAACTAATAAATTCCGCTGCATTTCGATGTTATGCATGAATTTCATAAATTTAATATTATGCATTATAACAAATTGAAAATTAACGTGCGATTATATTCTTAAACTAATTTATATTACTAATTTATATACCTTATAAAATTTTGCACTGCTTGTTCAGGATTTTCCGGTTAAGCTTACAGAATTATCGTTATTACTATTATAATCATCTTTTATGTATGTTCCACTTTCTTCTCTTTTAATAAATTATGATATAATTTAATAGTATTAAAAAATACTTATAATGTGATAGTGTGATGAATAGTCGATTAAATTGTATCATATAGCTCTGTCATTGTTTATTTTTATATAAATCGTTATTATTATTATTATTTTCAACAATAATATGTCAAATTTTTAAATTGTATTTAATTTTAATACATATATTATTTTTCATAATAGTCGACTTCAAGCTTCAACGATATTCCAATCTTAATTTTCTATATTCCCATACACAATTATTTACATTCCATTTAGCACGCGCGCGCGCGCGCGCGCGCACACACACACACACGCACACGATATATATGCCAATCTAATGTAAAACATTTTATATTAAATAAATTTTATTTAATATTTAATCCATACTCAATTTATATTTAACTAAATGCTACAAATCAGAAATACAGCGATCTAAATCATACAAAAATATAATTTGTAAATTAATTGAAGAAAAAATGAATAAATACGGTTGTACAAAGAAATTAATGCTGGCTTTGAATAAATTTATTTGTTTTTTCACCAAAAATATCTAGCATATTAAGAAAACTTTCGGGTAACATTCAAATTATATAGACATAATGGAAATAATATACATCTTTTATTCTTATAAATAATTTTAAAAAAATTTTAAGTAATAATGATGGTACATTTATTATCTAAAATAAATTAAAATTTACTAATTTATAAAATTATCTTTAATTCATACAGTACTTCCAATTATACAATTATACAATTCAATTCTCATCATTATTTAAAAAAAAAAAAAAAAAAAAAAAAAAAAAAATTCAATTACAAATGAAAAAATATAAAATTACTTAGACCATGTCACTTATGTAATGTACACATCTCTACAAATTTATTACATTCTGTTCAATTCTCTCATAGAGATAGTTTTTAATAAATATGTACGATGATATATTGTTAGTTGCTCATTATGAATAATTATTGAGAAAATCAATGATCCCAAGTCCGATTCTATCTGAGTGAAATTACGTGTCCATTCCTCTTCTTTATATTCTTTACATTGTAGTTTTCGTTATAATATGCAAGGACAGCGAGATAGAACCATTAAAAATATATGAAATGAATTGTTAAAGATCGATTATGGAACCGATACCGACTGAAATTTAGTATACAAATAAAAATAAATAAAAAATTTAATTGCCAAAAGATTCTACAAATTAGAAAAAATATAATACACATAGATAAATTTGGAAAAGAGTACAAATAGTTCAATAATGCTTGAAATTGAGAATTTTTGGTAAAAATTTATTTAGAATTTCTTAACATTTGAACTTATTATTTTTAACTTGTTTTAATGATTTTGTAAAAATAATATTATTATTCTTTTAGCATTATTAATATGATCTAGTTTAATGTTAGAATATTCATATTATGCGTGCAACATCCTTGAATACTTTATGACAACTTAAAATTATAATACTTAATTCTTTCACGCTACTTATTTATTATTATTATATATATTTAATAAAAGCTTATATAGAATAATAAAATATAAATTTAAAATTTCATTCCTTAATACATTGTAACATAGATGATTGTAACATAATATAAATTTGGAGTTGTGATTAAAACTACTTAAATGTAATCTCTTGAAAAGTATGTTTCTATTTTTAATAAATTTTATTAGCAATGTAACATACGGTAATACCTATTAATATATTCTTTATAATTAGAAAGTTCTAGGAATACATAATTTTATAATTAATTATCATCATATTATGAATTGGCTGTGAAATTTTAAATATTTTTCCAAGTTAAATTTCACATTATATCAAATATATCTTTCATGCGCCAAAATCTCTTAATGTAAGATAGATTTTAGATTTTAATTTGTATTAAAAAATTTTATATACAAACTTACTAAATACAGGTACTTGTTGAACATTTATATAAAAAAAAAAGAGACATCATATACCTAATTTCTGTATAAATAAAATAAGTCAAATACTTTATTTAGTTATTTTTGAATTTTTAAATTAAATAGCAAAAGTTAATTCAAAAGTTAAAAAAATTCATTTACAAAGTCAATAAGAAATAAGAAAAACCGATGTTTAGATAGACTTAATTAATACTACTCTTTTCTTATTATTTAATTTGCATATTCATTTGTTTTCGTATTTACTAGAATTTTAATTAATTAGAATGTAAAACGACTCATCTTGTAGTTTTTCTTGTCAACCTATGAATAAAAACATTAGAACGAGTCAGGCCATTTCTGTTTCATATTTATACCAGAAGCTTTTTTTTTTTTAGATCCATCTAGACAAAAGCCAATTGATTACAAGGATCTCTCTCCCTAGATAATTCCAAAAAACCTTCCTTTTATACGGGACGTTAGACCCTTTTCTGTCAAATAAACATTTAGTGGAATACTAAGCAATTTATTTGATACGAATAAAAGCAGTTTGTGTTCATAAACAATGTAAATACGAGCAAGAAACATTTGCGTCTCCAATTACTTACTAAAGATCATTGATAAATATTTCGATTGATAAATAAATAAATTCAAAGTTTATGATATTTAATAATGTCGAATTAATTAAAATAACTATAAAGTAATCATAAAGTCTTAATAATCAAGTAATTTGCAAATGTAAATTTCCTATCGTTTCTATATATTATTCGCGCACGCATTTACATGTGTGTGTGTGCGCGCGCGCGCGTGTGTGTATACGTATGCATATGTTTACAATGAAGCCAAGAAACTCGCTACTTAAACTTTTTTTAGTAATTTTAATTAAAATTTTTATTTCTTTTTCTTTTCTCCTATAAATTTATTTTTATCACGTACTTTTGTCTCTTGTGAGTGCTTCCATTTATGTATGTATGACTAAACAATAAAAAAACTTTGTTATTACATAATATAAACGTATATTAAATAAATAATTTCTTTTCTAAATAAATACTTAATCATAATCTAAATACTTTTCGCCCTTACTGTTAATTTAATAAATAATTAAAAATTATTTACAATGAGTTTTACTTGTTTAGTGATTTATGAAGATGTAAAGTATTAATAGTGCGACTCTCGAATATAAATAAAAATGTAAAAAATTATTGATCATTTTCAAATTCATAGATAAAATCTATAAAGTTGTTTTTTCTTAAATAACTATTCGACGTTTTGTAGTTATTATTACGAATAGAATATTTATAATATTAAAATTTCTAATTAAAATTTATATAATGTATAAATGTTGTTTTTTGTTTTAATATTATTTTATTAACGTTATATTCTATTTAAAACTTAAAATAATTATATATTGGAATATTTCAATTGAATTTTAATTCATTTAAATTCATGAAATTTAATTTGTTATTTTAATATCAAATAAAATTCTTTTAGCCCATTTGCTATACTTATGAAAATTTTTATATGCAAGTTAATATAATGAAATATAGTTAGCAATAGCTAATTAATTATTTTGTAAGGTAAATTGCTGAATTTTACTTAAAGTCAAAATTATACCGCAACTTCGTACGTATGCATTGTTTCACTTTTATTGTTAAAATTTTCCATAATAGCAATCAGTACTAAAATGAAAATTTTGAATGTCGTTAAATTGGATTTTTTAAAATGTTAATTGTCCGAGGAGTAAGTTAATAATATTTGAATTCCAAGTGAACTGATAACGTCGATATAGTAAAAGGATCAAGCAGAGTATGTCCCTTTTTGCTTTTCGCCAGCGTTTGTAAGAGAAAGTAGGAGTGGAAGTATAGCTTGCCTGAGAGAATGAAAGAACGAGAGAGAGAGAGAGAGAGAGAGAGAGAGAGAGAGATAAAGATTGCAAGCAATCGTTTTAGCAGAAAGCTCATTGTGCCTGTCACAGTTAATTTGCTCCTCCATTTCTCGTCTTCTCAACGACAGACCTCCTCCTCTACTTTCTCTGGTTCTCCTCTCGCCCAACTCTTCTTTCCACCTCATCTTTCTCTTCGAGCAAGGCAAGCGCTCATTTCGAGATATATGAGCTCGCGGAGCTCTAAGTACCGAGGTATCTTCTAGCACAAAGGCGGAATTATGTTGGACGACGCGTCTACTGCGAGTCCCTGAGCGTGATTGAAAAAAAGGTAGAAGAGGAAGTAGAAAAGGAAAAATAATTCTACTGTTGGCGAATTGCTACCGCGCCTGCCTGTCTGTCTGCATTTTCTTTTCAGAAAAGTATTTTGTTTTATGATTCTCTTTTTTCTCATTTTTGGTTTACTTCAGTCCAAAGTTTACAGGCAGTGACACTTTCAAGTGTTACTTTTAGCTTTAGGATATTTATTTCTCCATTCCAGCCTAAAATTTATCCTGTAGGTTTATTTGACTGAATGACGAAATTTATTATCTTTGTTTGCAATAATTTTACAAACGGATTTATTGATAAACTCGGTTACTTGCGCAAATTTCGTTATATATATATATATATATATATATATATATATATATATATATATATATATATATATATATAGAGAGAGAGAGAGAGAGAGAGAGAGAAAGAGAAAAAGATCGAAT